GTACTGTTTTTTGCATACTATATAGTAGGGAAGTCTTCTTTTTTTGGGATGCAACGAATATGTAAGTTTCGCCACTAGACCTCGCTTATTCAAAACAACAACTAAGCCATAGCTTGATGACGCTGTGACAGAGTGTTGAATCATGGGAGATGCTGTGTTCACCATGTGCTCCATTGACATGCGACGCAATGACACGGACCATTTCACTGGTTTAAACTGCATATTTCTCTGGATTTAAATGTTGGAAATATTTGTGATAATGTAAGTACACAAGTCAACAAAATATATAACATTGTTCTAGTGGTTTTTAGATATTTTAAAGCGAAAATCTTACATATTGTACCTTTAACTGAAATTTTTGCTACACATTCTACTGAAAATGTCTAATGTCTAATCCATCATTCTATAGAATGTGGCTTAGACGATGTTGAACTGGCAGACAGACGCCTTTTCTCCACGGCAGTCCTCGTCGAACCACTTCCCGTTGGCCGTGCTGGACAGGATGGCACAGTTCTGGCCGCGGCCTCCATCGGGGTGATGGGTGATCTCTGATTCCCAGTTCTTGAAGCGTATCGGTGAGCCCGTCTGGTCGGTCCACTCGCCCTACTTTAGTATGTCATTCACACCCAACCAGATGTGCCCTTCTGGCCCGACGGTCTGTTGCACATAATTGTACAGCTGGTCATTCTCGTCGCCAGAAAGAGGGCTGCTGAGTGTTCCTCCTTTAGCAGTGCAGTCATCGTTAGAGGCGTGAAAGCTCTTCTTCGTCGTGTCCGCGAGAAAACACTTGCCTGGGATCTTAATGCCTTTTAAGCAAACTGAAGAGGGAAGGAAAGTAAGAAGTTTAGGATGTGTGCTTCCAGGTCATTACCCTGAACAGCTCAGATGGACACGCTCTTTATGTTATGAGCTGTGACTAACACACAACAGACGCTGAATTCCACACACCTCATATCTCAGAGAGAAGAGAGAATGTTTAAAATAATCCATGTGACATCAGGGGTTCAAACGTAATTTTATGAAGCTACGAGAATACTTTTTGTGCACAAAAGAA